TCTGCACCAACCGAACGCTGGAAAAACTCTCAGAAAGCAACTGGTTCAGACTCTTTGCCGACTCTTCCTTCCTGTTTGAAAGCGTTCCGCTCATATTTCCCCCCCCGCTCCATCCTGTGTTTATTGTTGGAGGATGGTCTGTTTGTGGGGACGCTTCACGCTCAGAACTGTTGAAACTTCAAGCAAACTGAGAGGAATTGAGTTGGTTTCTTCATGGGAAAATATGAAAGGGTGGTTTAAGGGTTATTTGTTTGTTGATTTTCATTGTTTTAGCATTCTAAAACTAACAGTATTTCGGTTAAAGTTTTTAGAAATGTATTAGATGGTCAGGCAGTGGATGGACAGCTGATGTTGTCCAAATTCATTTTTATTATCATTCCTTCAAAAATAAATTGAAAGAGACATTTAAAGTACAGATATTAAAACATCTAAGAATGTGGTAAACTGGGGCAGGAGTTTAAAACCCCTGACTGTCAAACTGAGATCTAGAAAACGCGAGTTGAGCTGCTGGTCAGTGGAAGGACTCGCCGTCCACCCGCCGCCGCTTTCTGCCCTGCTGCTCAAAGAAGTGACGGATGTCTTCGGAAGTCACGACCTGTCGGAGGACACAGAGGAGGGTTAGGGTTAGGGTTAGGGTAGCCCTAGCGTAGCTTTATTTCCCAGGAATGCCTGATGGACAGCCGCCCCCCCCCCTCTGGATTGGACACCCACCTTCCCTTCAGTGGCAAACCTCTGCAGGAAGTCCTTCAGCTCCGTCTTCATGTCGTTGTATCCTGAAACAGAGCCGGTGTGAGGGGGGGGTTAGGGTTAGCCTAACCCTAACCCTAACCCTGCGCCCCTACCGTGGATGATCTCCAGCTGCTGCACGCGGTTCAGGCTGTCCAGCGCGGACATCAGGGGGTCCGGCCCCGGCCGCTGCTCGCTGCTCTTCCCCTTGTTCTCGTAGGCCAGAACCGTGTCCGACTCGTCCAGGAGGAAGGACAGTCCGGCCCTGGCCAGCAGCTCCTGGTGGGCAGAGGGCTGATCAGAGGCTGGGGGGGGGGAGGGGTAGGGGTAAGGTGAGGGAGTCGGAGGGGGGGGGGTAGGGTTAGGGTTATGGTTAGGGTTGACCTGGCAGAAGGCCTCTCACCTGGCAGCTGCTGCAGGGGCAGAGCTGGGGTTAGGGTTAGGGTTAGGGTTAGGGTTAGAGACTCAGAGGCCTCTCACCTGGCAGCTGCTGCAGGGGCAGAGTTTGGAGCGCCAGGCTGAGGGCCAGAACACGGCGCCCTGCTGGACTCTGGCCGGACCCCCGGGGTGCAGGTCCTTTAGTCTGCAGCTGGACTCCAGGGCGCCCTGCTGGACTCTGGCCGGACCCCCGGGGTGCAGGTCCTTTAGCCTGCAGCTGGACTCCAGGGCGCCCTGCTGGACTCTGTCTGGACCCCCGGGGTGCAGGTCCTTTAGTCTGCAGCTGGACTCCGCCTCCTCCCGGCTCCGCTTACTGGGCCTGGCGCTGTCCTCTACCTGACAGGTCATTCAAAGGGTTAGGGTTAGGGTCAATTCTGACCACTGAGAGCTTCTCCTTCTGGTTCAGCTCCCTCTGACCCCAACGGACCAGAGAAACCCTGACCCCAATCCACCTGTCCATCTCAGAGTCCACCTCAGACAGAGGTCTGAACTATGGCCACCTCAGACTCAGACAGAGGTCAGAACTATGGCCAC